AAATCCAAACTTTAAAAGTTCGTTTCTGAATCTATGGATGACTGTCTATGAAACCCATATCAAATTTGAAGAATATTTTGAAAAATTTGCAGAGAGTAATGAAATGAAATATACCCTGGGGAGTCCATTGGACTCCCCTTGCCCGGATAAGGGTTAAGGGGGGCTAGCTATTTAAAAGTCTTAGGGAAGTTCAAACCCCCCTAACATATAGTTGCGTCATAGTCTCTGACTGGCGCTTCCTGGTTTGCCGTGCGTGCATTTAGACGAGTTAGGTTTACGTCACTGTCAAGGCTAGTCCATACTCGTGTTTTACGGCATACTGTAATGAAAAATCCTATACAGTATGTCCAACCGCTGGACTGCACTCCTATGAAGGCAAGGAAATAAGTTCGACGGCTGGATGCAGCAGGCTGTCCTGCAAAATCTCTGTGCTGGATGGAATAGAAACCACTCTTTATTTATTCATTTGCAATGGGAAAATGCAGTACGGCATATGCAGCGCTGCTCTAAATGGCCCCTTGAAAGGAATAGTCTCATTGATATTTGACGAGAGCGTTTGTAAATGAATGGAAGCTGACAAGAACCTCTGTTGTTACCAGAGGATCGTGATACGTGCCTACCCTCGAGGAACGGATCCTACGAGGCCGCGAACGACCTTGTTTTCCATGGGAAACCTTCCGTAGAGATGAGCCGATGACAGTGTTACGCATCCATCAGATGATATCGGCCGATTGTGGCAAAGTGGGGTGAGGAAGGCCGAGAAGTTGCTTTCCGAGATTTTATCACGTGCTTTCAGTATCCAACTCCGGCTGATGAGTTGATGGCGTTTTATTTGTGTTAGGAAAAATTGTACGTTTGCGTGGGAACAAAACTCTAATGGTACCCTATGCCAGTCGCTGCTGGCAGAGGGAAGAGAGAATATTGATTTTTTTTGTTGCGCGGGAGAAGTTGATGATTTTGGCGCGAAACTTTTAAATCCTAGACCGTAGATGGATCAGGTTTTTCCATTTCTGGGGGAAAGAATCGGTAACTCCGGCGCTTTGCCTGATGCTATCGTTGAACCCCATTCAACCAGAGGGAAGGATTTTTTTTTTTGTGGGAGAGGCCAATGACACGTTGCATTCGTTGAGAAAGAGGTTACGTTGGAGGGCGTCGGCATCGGTGGCTCGAGAACCTGCCGATGGGTGTCGATGATGTCACGTCGGCGGTCGATTCACGAGTACAGCTTTACCATAGATTGCATGTGTTTTCAACTACAGTGTGGGTCTCGTTTCTGTGCGAAGCCATCATGCCAACGACGCTCCGGAATCTCTGATCTTATGGGTTGGGGGGAAAAAAGGAGGGACTGTGATTGTCTCTCTTGGGGACTTGGAATTAAGAATATTAATGAGATCAGAGACAAGCAACCGAATTATCTTTACTGGGCCTATTTGCTTGCGACGATGATGGGAACCACAGCGTTGGGTTTCAATCGCACAACTCCATAAATATTCGCTTCACTGACCGGTGGGCTGTAGATAAAGCACCACTGGCCCGTGGGTTAAAAAAAAAAATGATTTGCCTCTTATCCCTTTCCTGGGGGAACAAAGAGGGGGAGGGGGGAATATGGGCATGAATGTGGCAGTTGAGTGTCTTTGCTAAAGTAAAGAGGCTCTCCTAGAGGGATCGAAGGGAAGGGGCATGAGACAGCCCTCGCCGCCACTCTGTCGTGGTGGCGCCGAGGGCGGTGAATATGGAGGTGTGGACTTAGTGATGGGTCATGGGTTCGCGGTCGGCTTCGTCTCCACCTCGTTTCCCTGGCCGTAATGCTCGAGCATGACTGAATTCAGACGTGACATTGGATGTTTATAAGTAGCTGTGTATGGTCAAGGCTCAAGATATTAAATCTTGAATTAAAGTCCCTGATATGTATGGCGAGTCTGAGATATTGATTCCGACCCTAGATTCTCGCGGGACAGCTCGGTGTCGGTCTCTTAGTAGTGAAGACGATATTTCACCGAGCTGGTAGGTAATCGAAGCTATGGTGTTTTTGGAATTTGCAGTGAATGGGTTAGCAAATATCGACGGGGATGTGATCCAAGACGAGGAGGACCTGACGTCGGGGAGGCGGTGCAGTCGGTACAAGCTCACTGGGATCGTCGTTCATTCCGGCCAGGCGTCCGGAGGGCATTATTACTCTTACGTCCTTCACAGGTGAGAGTCTAGAGGGCATGCCGGTCGAAATATTTCGTGGGCGAGGCGGCACGGATTCGATAGGGACTACTTATGTATCTTCGAGTCGGTCATGTGATGTTTCGGGAGAAACGAGTTTCTAATGCATTGAATGAGACTGGTTGATGGGAGATAACTTCTTCACAGTACCAGGAACACAATTGACTTAAAGAAAGAGATAGATTAATGAAAGTAAGAATGACCTTTTTTGTGTTGCACATGGGAGGCTACTCAACGGTCACATTAGTCACAGATTTATCTTCAGGGAGAACGCGCCTTTTGGTGCGTGGATACTCGCTTTACATCCTTGATGCTTTTGCAGGCATACCGACGGGACGCAACGGTGGTACAAGTTCGACGACGGGGAGGTGAGCGAGTGCCACATGGACGACGACGAGGAGATGAAGTCTCAGTGCTTTGGCGGGGAGTACATGGGGGAGGTGTTCGATCACCTGAGCAAGCGGATGAACTGTCGGCGCCAGAAGCGGTGGTGGAACGCGTACATCCTGTTCTACACGCGGCTGGACGTCGACGAGCAGCTGCTGCAGGACTCGTTCAAGGAGCTCTCGCTCGGTTGGTCTCGCCTTGCGGGGTGGTTGAGTTTTGAGAATTGTGAAGTTGGAGTGCAGGATGTATTGAGTATGCATTAAGGTAGCAGAAGTGGGGGGTAACGGTCCAGTTTTGCTCTGGTAATGGTCGGAAAAGCAATTGAGTTTTGCCGCTCTCTTCGCTCGCTTCTGATCTCATCCGCTTTTTTTGTGTTTTCAGATTGGACTAACTCGTTCCCTAAGATGCCAGCCCCGATCGAACGAAGCGTGCGCCGGGAAAACGTCCGCTTCATGCATAACCGCAACCAGTTCTCAGTGGAGTATTTCCAGTTCATCAAGAAGCTAGTCATTTGCAACAACCACTTTGTCAGCCTTCCTGCTGGTGATGGAACTCTGGTGAGCTGGGCCTGCTGTTTTTTATTTTTTTCAATATGCTTTCCAGCTGTGTTAAAAGCTCCCATGTAAAAACGTGAGGTGGAATTTTTAAAGTCTAGTTGTTTTCTTAAAATCGAGATATCTATGATTATGTGATTGGTCCATATGCATGATGTCATTGATGATGTTTGCAGTCGCCAGAGGGCGAGGAGATCGCCATGATGTCGATGCAGCTAGTGTCCCGCTTCCTCTTCATCACTGGTTGGCACACGAAGAAGAGCCTTCGAGGGCCTGCCATAGAGTGGTACGAGGCATTGAGCATCCATCTTCGTGGATCTCGCACTGTCCGCTCCTGGTTTGCCCAGAATGTCCTCTTTGCCCCCAATTACAAGGCCAGGTGAGGATCTCTTGTCAGGTTGCTATTTCAAGTACCGGGTGCATCATAAGTATGGTAACCAAATAAATAAAAAATTTTTCAAAACCTATAAGATATATACACTCAAAATTTTGAACCATTCTTTATTGGTCATGAGTTTATGGTAGGACAAGAAATTACTCAAAATGGCCACCATTGGCCTGAACTACAAGTTCAAGACAGCATTTGAAGGCCTTGGCCATGGCACACACGTAGGAAATGGGCATTTTGGCCCACTCCTTTGTCAGGGCCGACTTGGAGTCCAAATTTGGGTAGTTGACAGCACGGGCCTTGGTCTCCAAATAATTCCAGATGTTGAAGTCCATGGGATTCAGGTCCAGGGATGAGAGGGGCCACTCCTCCTTGCTCAAAAAGGCCAGAATGTGCTTTTTCAGCCATTCCTGTGTGGCCTTTGTGGTGTGGGCGGGGGCCCCGTCCTGCGTGAAGGTCCAGGTCTTTTTGCCAAACTTCTTCTTGGCCCAGGGGACCACCATGTCTTCCAGAACGAATATGACATAGAACTTCTTGTTCACCTTGACTCCATTGGGCACGAAGACGAGGGGAGTCTTGCCGATGGCTGTGATCCCGGCCCAGACCATGACAGAGGCCAGATGTTTGCACCAGAAGGCTGTCTTCAGTTTCATGGGGACCTTGGAGATGTCTTCAGCAAGGATGTTGTTGTTGGGGTGGTTGTGGATGCTCTGGACTGTGAGGTTCTTCTCGTCCATGAAGGCCAAGTTCTTGAGTGTGCCTTTTTTGAGGTCCCAGAGCATTTTTTTTGGCACAGGCCAGCCTCTTGACCTTGGTCAGCTCTGACAAGACTTGCCACTTCTGCTGGGAGTAGGGCGTCATCTTGAGGTCGTTCCTGACCATTCTCCTCATTGTGGCCTTGCTCATGTTGCCCTCCTTGGCCATTTGGCACATGCTTCTCTGGGGGTTCCACCGAATCTTGACTTTGACAGCCCAGATGACTGCTGGAGTGTGCTGGGACCTAGGATGACCACTCCTAGGATGGCTGGCTACAGTACCAGTCTCCTTGAATCGCTTCACGACTCTCCAGAATCTCCCCATTACTCTTTCTGGCCTTGTGGAGCTCCAGGATGGCATTTCGTTTTGCATCCATTGTGCAAACTTGATGAAACTTGAAACTTTCATTCTACTATTTTTAACACCTCAACAGCTTTAAGAAATGAAAAAAAAAATAGGAACTTTTTGTAATTAAAAATACCCAACCTTTCAGTATGCCATTACTGTGGTTACTGAACTTAAGATGCACCCGGTAGGTTCTCTATGAATTCCTACATGAGGTCCTACTTGTGGAAGAAGCATGGAGAGTCTCATGAAATTTGTTTGTTCAATAGGAGTGAACATTTCAGGTGGCACCAGGCTTCTTATTTTTTATTTTGAAAACAAGCATTGATCTTAGGCTTCATGTAAGAGACCAGGATGGACTGCTGGTTTCAAAGGCTTCTTGCCACTTCAAACAATCACCAAAAGACTCTTTAAAAGTGATGGTATGCTTTGCTTTCTGGTCAGTTGATAAGGGATGCTGTGTGCAGGTTCACGGAGTACATGCTGGAGTGTCCAAGCTCTGAAGTGCGGATGGCGTTTGTCAAGGTTATCATGTTTGTTGCCCACTTCTCCCTTCAGGATGGCCCTTCACCTCTTCCCTATGGACGTGAGTCTCTGCATGGATCCTCTTTGTCTTGGAGATGTTAGCAAGGAGGCTTGCATAGCTGCTAAAGTGAAAATAAAATCATACATTAGAAGCAAATGATTCCCATATCTTGAGGTGGGGGGTTTGTCAGTCAGTACATAACTTAGATTGAACCTATTGCCAGTGACTCCACTTATTAGAATACTACTTAATGAAACATTCTGCTAAATCAAATACCATTGTATGGTCCTAACTGATTCTATTTTATTAAGCTATTCTATCCCATCTTTCCTATTAATTTTTTCTTGTTAAGCTGAACATTCTATTAAATGGTATTTCATTAAGTGGATTCAACTGTAAGTATTCAATTCATGATCTGATTTTCATTTGTGATGGATGTAGCAGCAGGGATGGACACCGGAGAGCAGCTTAGCAATGCATTGATCCAGGCAGTACTGAGCCTATTGAAGAAGGAAGTATCAGAGCATGGGCGCCACCTTGCACAATACTTCAGCTTCTTCCACATGTATGCCTCCCTTGGCATCAAGGAGAAGCTTCAGCTTCTTAAGGTATGCCCATATCCTGTGTCCTAACTGTCTCTGAGCTACCTTTTTTTTTTGGAACACATCAGGAAGGAATGGAGCATGAATGAATAAAATTATGAAGGGACTGGTATTGCAGATGAAAAAACTTCTTTCACAAGCAATTTTTATAAGTGGATGATTTGTTGTATGAGTGCATGTAACTGGGCATATCCACTGCCCAGCTCCATTTTTAAACCATATGGTCAATTTTAAAACTAAACCTTAGAGTCTTGCTAGTCATGATTGGTCCTCTTACATCCATGAACTTCTCTCCCTTTGATCCTTGCTCATTGAAAATAGAAACTTTTCTCAGAGAATCGAGTGGTTGGTCAAGTGTTTATTTGTCTGGACAAAACTGTATTCTCCTGAGTCCTGCCTGAACAAGAGTTGCTTTGCCACTAACAGCTAAATGTGCCAGCCCTTTTGATGCAAGTGGCAATGGATGAGGGACCTGGCCCGGCCATCAAGTATCAGTATGCTGAGCTCGGGAAGCTGTACCAGGTGGTGTCCCTCTTGGTGCGCTGCTGTGATGTCTCCTCACGGTGCCAGCCTTCCACTCCTGTAACCTCTCTCCCCTCCCTCTCCTTATACTTACATGAGTTTGGTGATCATGGTGGTCTTGTTTGTAGGGGGTGAAGGTCTTACCAAATCCATACATTGGTGATCAGCATTGCTCTGAACCTCTCATGCCCATTCAGCCTCAGGTTGCTGACATGCTCTACGTTAGGCCAGCGTGAGTCTCCCCATTTCCATGGCTTCAATGTGATGTCTTCTGTTACCTCATGATTTGTGATCTAATTCTACATTTCCAGCAAGAGTTCTAACAGTGCATTTAATAATGTTGTATTTAATGCTTAAGGTAGCAAAATTGATGCTACTAAGTTTCAGATGTGCTTTTAAATCAGAAAAATCAGATCTCATATTTTATGTCAAAAAGTGTTATATTTTCCTTGAAAGAGAAGTTAAAGTCTGCCATGTTACTCTAGCTGTCACCAAGGCTTGAAAGGTCATCACTGTGCTCATCACAGTGTCTTTTGATCCCAATCAGCTACATGAAAAAGATCATGGAGGAAGCAAATGCAGGAGAAGACACAGCACGGCTCCTCAAGTTCTGCAGCTGGGAGAACCCAGTGTTCTCATCAGCAGCACTGGCTGAGCTCCTGTGGCAGATCTCCTACTCGTACACGTATGAGCTGCGCCCTTACCTTGACCTCCTTCTCCACCTCCTTCTCATGGAAGACTCATGGCAGTCCCAGCGCATTGTCAAAGCCCTCAAAGGTATGGTTTCATTGTAGGGTTGTACCGGTGGCCACATTTTGCCTGTGGGCTGATGGCCCATTATTTTCTTAGACCTATTGGCCGGTACTGGTGCCAGTGCCAGTGCCTATTGTGATGTGCAGAGAAACAGCGAAAAAGCATTCAACAAAATATTTTTTAGAAGTCAGATAGACATATTATGAATGCAGGTTCAATTTTATCATTGTTTCCATGCTGGGTGTTTCAAATACACTCATGTATCGACCTGAAACATCAATAGTGCATCAATGCTGGTGGGGGGTTGGGGTGTTGATGGATTCAGTCTTTTCTAACTGCGATTGGGATCAGGTTTCTGCCTGTTTCCACCATTTCTTGCCTCAATCGAAGCACGGACCTATATCCACCTTCCATAATTTGTCGCCTGTGATTCAAGGAGTTGGAGGGGGAGGCATGACCTTCGTGACAGTGATAAAGCCTACCATACCTCAACTATCAAAAATGACAGCAATACAGCAATGGATGAACTGCAATAGCCCTAATCTTTTCCTATTGCCATTGAGAATCTGTTACCAAGCCCCATTCATGTGGTATTTTTTATTTTTTCTTGTTCAGCACGTTATTCTTTGAACATCGGCACCGGCTGGTTCTAAACCTGCCGATGGCCAATGTGGCCAATAGTCCAACACTGGCAGCCGATGCCAGTGTTAGCCGATACATTGGTACAGCCCTATTTCATTGTATTTTGTTTTGACTCTGAGATCAATATGGAAAAAAAAAAATTACAAGCCTCAATTATAATTCTACATTATCTGCTGCATAATAATATACAGGGTGAGTCAAAAGTCACTGGAAAACTTTGAACAGCTATAACTCAGCAATAAAGACATTAATTTGCTAACAGTTTTTTTGCATGTGAAAGCATGTGTTAATTGACAAAACATGAAAATTTGCATGAAATACTAATAAGAAATAAGATGAACCTGCACAAAACAAAAAGTAACATTTTCAAACATATAAGGGATATTTAGGGTATAATGGATGTGGTTATTATCTGTTAATTTTTGCTGCTCCAAGTGGTTTTCTGATAATGCCGATGAACTTTCTTTGGAGGAACGTGTTGTCATCATTAATTTCTTTTCTATCTGTGAAGGAAATCTTTCCAAAGTGAAGCATCGTTTTGCTTTGAAGACAGATGGATAGGCCAGGTTGGGCCTATCAAGTGGCCTCCCAGGTTGCCGGACTTGACTCCACTCAACTTCTAACTGTGGGGTTTCATTGAAAGACCACGAATGTGCCAAAAATTTGCAAACAGTCAATGATCATGAGTAAAGCATCGCAGAGAAGATCACAAGAGGTTGGGTTTCAGTAATACCTCACGTGATTGAGCTTGATGGTGCTCAAATAACATGGCCAGTAATTACAGTCATTTTTAGACCAAATAAATAAATAAATAAATTTCAACATTGCATATTTTTTAATTAGCAGACGCTCTTTCCTATGCAAAAAACTGTTTATGAAACTATGTTTTTCTTGCAGAGTTATAGTTGTTCAAAGTCATTCAGTGACTTTTGACTCACCCTGTACTTGATGGTGGGCTTGCCAGTCAGTGACTTTGAAGTTCATTAGCTCAATGTGTCACTAAATACCTCAATGGCGAGGTGAAGTTGATCTCCTTCATTCTAAGGAAGAGTTGTAGCTTGAAGATAAGTTTCTTGTGACTGAGTTAAAAATTTCCAAGAAAATAGACTGGGTAACAATGAGACTGGATGGTCATGCCATCATATGCATACTTCGTTGTTAAGGTCAAAGCTGCCACTTGTGAATTTTGTTTCCTACTATTTCTTAAACTACTTTTTCAGATAATTGAGCCTTGATTGAGACAAGTACTTCAGAACCAAAAGAAATGAGAAAATTGTGAAGCTGGCACTAAAAACAGAACTGTAACCTATGACTGAAACTAAAATGAAATGACTGGGGAAGGAATGTAACCAGAGTTGGCTATTTCATTAGCTTAAAAGGCCTGATTATGATCCATCCATATTCTGATGTCTGTGGGAAATACTTTTCTACCTGTAAAGAGATTGTAATCACAAGTAATGAACAGCATGGCTGTCTGGCATTGTCTGCTGGTACTTTCTTAGATTTGCAGTCTTGGTTTTTTTTATTATATTGAAATCAACTATTTCAGCTTGTTTTCTATCTAAAATCTAAATCTCATTAACTGTACAAGTATTTTGATTGTAGGTACAATCCAAAATTCTGTATGATTCATGCACCTCTTAGACTCAGCAATTTTATCTATTTAGAGAGTGGTGATAGCTTTCCAAGATGCTGATTTGTGTATTTTTTGCTTTTTTCAATTAGAATGCACTCTGCTGAAAGACTTCTTGGTTCATTTCATCTTTATTTCTAATCTTTGTGTGATGCCAGGGATATCAGAGGACCGAGAGGGGCTGTTTGATACTGTGCATCGTTCCAAGTCCCATCACCAGAAACGGGCATACCAGTGTATTAAGGCAATGGTTAGCCTGTTCACAACATGCAACGTTGCCCTTCGCATCCTCCAAACACAGGCTGAACTCAGACGACGCTGGTCATGGGCTGTCAATTGGCTTCATGAGGAACTTGAGAGGGTTTGTCTTTCTTTCCTCCCCCCCTCCCCCTGGAAGATTTGTCTTTCACACATCTATTCATTGAAGGAATTTTTTTAAACATTTTTCATTGCCGTGACTGTTTTGAAATAATATATTTTCTCGTTGTCCATGTGTATACAGAGGCCATACCCAGGTTCCTCCCAGTATGGTTATAACAGCTGGTCCCCGCCTGCCCCTTCAAATGAGACCTCCAATGGATACTTCCTTGAGAGGTCCAACTCTGCCAAGATGACCCTTCAGAAGGCCTTGGAAATCTGTCCTGATGAGGTATCCTGTTCACTACTTTCTTCTCCTTAGATTTGGGATGAAATGGGAGTCTGAAGAGATGTGGGGTAAAGGAAGAAATGGGACATTGTATTATTGATTCAAAACCAGGGAATGTGCTTCCCCTCACCTTCCATTGTATGTGAAATTGCCATCTCTCATTTGAAGCCTCCTTTGAACATTTTCCTCTGCCAAAATGAAATGTATTGGTAAGCAAGAAGAAGAATGGGCATCAGACAGCAAAGTATGGTTGCAGGGAATATTTAAGCTTACAGAGTTCATTGCAAACTCAATTTTTCAGTACTGAAACTATGGGCATTTTATCAGGCATAATAATTTTGCTATATCAATAATTTTTACATTTTTTATTTTGCTTTAGTGGAATTTCTCTGTCTCAGAAGTTGCATCATCTTATTTAGGTGATTTTTTATTGACTGGGAGATTGATTTGATAGGGCATATTTTATTTTGTTTTGTTTCAGTATATTTTGAATTTAAAATGTTATCCATATTGTACAGTACAGTTCAAGTCTTAACTTCAATATTTTATTCTTTCAATTCATTTGTATATTCACTGATCATTCCATGCATGTATTCTCTTGCCATTGCTGCTCAATGGCTTTCTAAGGAAGTTGAATTTGCGTGTCTTTAACAGGAAGGGGAAGGTGAGGAGGTAGCAGGTGGAGAAGATGGTGAGGGGGGACCAGGTTCCCCAGTCCCTGAGGATGGAGTGGTGCCCCAGGTCCCATCCCCATCACCTGTCCCTGGGACAGCGACGGTAGGAAAGCTCAGTCGCGGCAGTGGAGACACCCGGGCATCAACCACCACTCAATCTCTTTCCAATCCCTTGGTATACTCCTCGATTCAGCCACAGGAACGTGAGAGTCCCCTTAGCCCCCTGCAGCCTCCCCTCTCCTCCCATGTCCAGTGAGTTGTGAACTATGATTCCATTCATGTCTTGAATTCCATTGATTGTTGTATGGAAGGGAAAGTGGGAAAAAATTCAGCTTCTTCCTAACATTGACTATGAGAATACTGCCAATTTGGCAGAGCCATCTATTGTATGAGCAAGGCTAATGTATGTTTTCACTTGTGAATACTTTTGACTTTCTTATATGAAAAGAGAAAGCTGCATGGGCATGGATTCTCCTGTTGCCTTGGATAGGCAAAGGGAAGGGTTCTGTAGTGTTTTTTTAATTTAAGCATGCTTTTATGTTTGCCTCAATTAATTAAAGTGCTCTGCATGTAGACAAGTTATACTTTTTGTTGTGATGTAGAATCATTTGATTTTTCAAAGCTTGCAGTTTAAGGCACATGAAAAAGCTGATGGTTTCATTGCATACTACTTTCGAAAATGACTGTACTGGGTGGTCAGTAAGTCACAAGACAAGACTGGACAGTAGTCTACCTTTTTCCTCTCTTTTTTTGCAGGTTTTGACCAGATCTTGAAGGTATAAATTTTTGTGTTCAATCCTGAATTCTTGAGTTCTGTTTATGCATGACATGCTGCAGGATTCATAATTTTTGAAAAATATGCTAAATTAATGCAATGCTTAAGAAAATATTTTCTACCTTCTCTTTAATTGTTCTGTGATCACCCTCTGTGGGCTCTCTGTCTCCTGTAGACTTCGCTGGAAAAACTTTTAGCTTTCTCCTTTCATTGCATTTCCTTCACTAAAAAACTAAGGAAGAGAGCAGTCCAATGAAATCTTATAGACTTAGCATGCTTGTTAATAGGGTGCTGAAAGCAAACTTTTCTTGTGGCATCACAGGTTCATGCCGCAGCGGCGGCTGTCTGGCGGGGATCAGCGGGGAAGCGACAAACTGTTTGGGTTCCGCCCGGAGGACGGCCAGTCAACTGAAGAAGCCTGATCTGCATCTACTCCGTGATATGTCTCTCGATGAACCTTTATTCCGAGTTTGGAGTTCATTCGTACCATCGGGATCCCGGCGACGAGTTTCCCGTCGTCTCCGGGAGGAAACCGAGCTCAATATCGACACGAGAGGCTGCTGAGATCAACCGATGATTTCGGGAAAGACACACCAAAACGATTGAGTAAATTTATTTTCGTCGAGTCATCCGCATCTGCTCTGTGATTGCATGTCAAACTGTTTCTCCTCTCCTAGTTTCGCTTTGAGTGAAGTTATTCTTTGTAGAAGTAATATTTAGAGTTATTTTTTATGATGCTCTCCCCTGGACGTTGGTCTCAGCAACCCTGACGCGATCGACATCCACTGCGCCTTCTGTTGCCTTGTTGTGATACATCGGACAAAAGAAAAGGCCTCAGGGTCAGACTGGAAAAAAAAAGTAAAAGATGGTAAAAATTTAAATAGATACAACTTGTTGCCTGTGAGTCAGGATCCCTGAAATTTCGAGGGAAAATGACAGTGGAAAAAAAAGAAGTCATCTTTGAATTATGTCGATTTTTTTGGATTCCTCCTTTTTTGTGACCCGTGCAGTCCAGAGAGAGGTCAAGATGTATGCTAAGTGTCAGTTCTATTTAATAAAGAAAACTGACTTTCAAATACCAAGAAGTGTGTTGTATCATTTTTCATCATTTGTCATCGGGTGAATTTTTTTTTCAGTAATTCCCTTCTTGTATATTTGGACTTGAGAGAGGGAGGCAAAAGAAAGCCTTCCCTGGGGAGAGAAGCCCTGCCTTCTTTTGCGCTTGATAAACATTTCAAGAATCTTAAATGCAAGAATTGCAAAAGGAAGTGCATTTCATTCCCCACAAAAGTCAGGCGTGATCGTCCCGTCACTGATTTCCTGTGCAGTGAAGTGTGTACATCGTCCGGGAAAGGCATATGGCGTCGGGCCGGAAAGGAAGGTGGTCACCTTAAGCCAAATTCAGGCTTAAGATGTGCTTTACCTTTACCGCTCGTGATAAGTGCATTGTAAATAATTTTTGCCGAGTTTTGTTGCATGAATCAGCAGGGAGTAAGTCCATGAACAGCTTTCTCGCTTAATCGGAGGGAGCTATGCGCGTCAGATATTCCTCTAGGTTCTTTAAAAGGTCTCAGTTGATTCACGTCCTTGGATCATGGAGACATGGGGGAGAGGGAGATCACATGTCATTCTAACGTAAGCTGATACTGGCACTGATACTGTTTGAAATGACCTATTTTCAACGTCAAAATTTCACGAAGAAATTCGGCCTGTGTGCTCCGCAAACTATTGGAGAGCAAGCAGTTGAACCCCTCCAGGGATGAATTGTTAGACGCGGAAAATTTTTAAAACTAAATATTACAGTTTTAAAGATGTATATTCTCATAAATATGTGCAAAAATACCATTCTAGAAATTCATAGAGAAATGTAAGCCTAAAAAAAAAAAAAATATTTTTTAAATATTGGCATCTGACCAGTTGGGGATGAGTTTTTGACCAATTTAAAATGCATTGAATCAAACGTCCACATTTTTGTAGGTATACAGTAACGCAACTTTCGGGAGGAATACTCAGATCGCTGATGAATGCATGCCGGTCTCGATGCATCCACGAGAATGGGCATGGGGGATCCATACCACTGCCAAGCAGCCTGTGGATCCCCTAGTGGAGGTCGTACTCTGTAATCGTATAGGCGAACGTGATATATGGGTGTGCACGTGATCGCTGTGATCCATCCGGATGCCGGTCCCGCCTGGCAGGCGTCTCCGCGCGCCGATCACGGTCGGAGGTCTTGTGCCGCTTTGATCAACAGCCCAGTTGATAAACAACTCTGTTGTTTTCTCCACGGTTCCGTGTATGGTTTTTTCCGTCGGGAGCAACGCGAGTCAGTGCTGCCGTTCTATAACTGAAGGTTGAAGGAGGAAATTGGTCTATCTGATGTCTGAACGCCGTTTTTACTGCTTTTTATTGTAAATAATTTGAAAATCCAAAAGTAATTTCTTTCCGAATTCTCATAAATGGAGATTGTCGTATCCAGAAGCCAACATATTTTTTAAACAAGCAGACTCATCGGAGATTAGGTGCTCTCGTGGGACTTCCCAGTTCAGGGTTACACGCGCTCACGTGGAATTCCCACGTGAGCACGAGGCTGGTTCGCGTCGAGTTTTTCACCGCAGCCTGCTGAAGGTGCTCCATGACATGTGCTTCATCTGTTACGATTGGCTTTCATGCCAAGAAATGCCCTTGGAGAAAATTATCTAATTGAAAGTCTCTCTGGGGAAAGTAGCAGCGAACCGAACGGATGAACTAAGTTAAGCGTGCTTGCACGGTGAAAGGCAACGAAAGTGACCGAGGGAATGGACTGGCCCTGGGCGCGATGCCTTCACTCGGCGCTTTCTGTTTGCGAAGCGATGGAGTTTTCAGTCTTTAGACTGAGGGAATGCCTTTGCGAAACGAGAGCGGAATTTCGATGGTGGGGAAGCAAGCCTGCGTTATCGTTCATCCCATCTTCTGGGATCAGCCGGTTCGGACGGGCGAATTTCGTCGAGATGGTCCCCTATCACCTTATGTTTTTCATACATCGAAGGTAAATTGACTCAAGGTTCGTTATCGTCGCGAAGATCTTCATGCCACTGCAAATGATTACCGAGAGAATTCGTCGAAGCAGGCGAGAAATACCCGTGGATTTGTCTCCGCCTCCCACGATGAGAATAGCCTGTGAAACCCGTCATAGTCCAAAGGCTAATTTTAGCCCCGACGAAATGCCCTTCGTGACGAGGTTTTCTCCTTCCATCGCGAAGCGGAGCGGGAGTGAATGGGATCCAGCAACCGTGCTCCCGTAGATTCCTGGGCACGAGACCGAGCTCCCGGGGACTCGGCAGCCGTGCTCCCGTGGATCACGAGACCGAGCCGTCCCGGGAATCCGACAACCGTGGTCCATTGAAGGGGTTCCATCGCAAGGTCAGCCAGGCTCGGGCGTCAGTTTGGCGCGGGACGCCCTTCGTGGCAGTCTTTCCTCGTCGCCTTCTTTTCCATTTTATTTTTTCCTCTCCATTTCTGGTTTGAGTCTCTGCCGTCTGACCTTGAAGGCCTTCGGGAGATTCATGCGTCTCGTCCCGTGTCCTTGCAGACGGTTCGCCGTGTCAGAAGGAACGCGTCCTCGCGGAGTGATCGTGCCTCGTTTTCGACTTCCTTAAGAAACGCAATTCCATTCGTCTCTTTCCCGCTGCTATAAGCGTATTCCGTGAAATGCAACGCCTCGGCGTGTGTGCAAATGCGAGAAGGAAATTTTTGTAATGCTGTAGCTTCGCAGGAATAATTTTATTTACTTATTGGTTACTTTAGCATTAGGCGTATAATCCCGTAAGCCACATTCAGCAGCGTTAATGCTATCACCTGACGCATTTCACGTTGGTATATCTTCCTAGGAAATTAATTTTTCTGGCGTTAGCTTTCTACTGTATCTGAGGCCGTGCATGAGGTGCGCAAAAATTTGTGATTACGGGAACCACCCAAACAGCCTAAATTTCATATTGGAGTTTAGGTTGTGACCGAAAAATTCAATTGAGAAGTTTGGCTTTTATGGCTTTCAGCAGAGTCGAAAAAAGGTTGAGTTCCGCCTTTTAAACGTATCTCATTTCGGCTCATTTCATGTTAGGGATAAATGACTGATTAACTTCTTAGATTACATTTTGGCTTCGCCGCGGTTCCGGGTGGATTCCCGAAGCGAGAAACGGCATAAATCTGGAAGTCCGATGTTAGTGTTATCACGCCGGAAAGGAAACGGGAGAGGGGCTCTAAAAATAGAAAATCTCCGTGCCAGGGAGCGCAGCTGCCACGTTGTGTCGCCGAACGGTTCCGCATATTTTTTTCCGCGTTTTTTTTTTTTTTTGCACGAGTCCGATTGTGGAATGGTCCAGAAATTTTCATTTTCTCTCTTTTCAGGTGCTACTGAATGAGTGTGTAGGGTCACGTTGTCCGGTGTGGAGAAATATATATCTAGAAAGTCCGTTTCCTGCTTTCCAGCCCGAAAATGCTTGCTGCACCTCAAGGTGAGGCACTCGTCCGTTTCTTTTATTTTATTCATTTATTTATATATTGGTGGGTGCCGGAGGCAAATAGTTTCTGGCTTTACCAGGGCAGACCGAGACCTTGGTTGCCACCTTCTCAAGTGGAAAACCAGTCGGACAAGACTGAAAAATGCATAAATTATTTAGAGATTTTCATTAGGATTTTTCTATTTGAGTATTTTTTATTTATTCAGAATCTGCCCCGATTTTGTCCCGGAATTGTTAGTCGTCACTCGAAGATCGTCACCCGTTCCGATTTCCTGGCTCGCACGTTGCCGATTTGGTCCTCGTTGATATATTATCGAGTGGATCCATTTGCTTGCGGATATGTATTGTAGAACTGCTTGTGATTTTTTGAGAGTTTCTCGATATTTTGCGACGGGACGTGCTCGAGAGTCGTCGGGAGAATCTGACGCGGAAGCTGCCAGTAAGCATAAACCGGTACGCGTGTCAAGGTTACTCGATCCGTCTCCGTAGTATTCATGATCCATCGTGTCGGCTGCCCGAGTCGACCGTAAGAGTTGTCTGCCTGATTCGGCCACCCAATCGATGGAGGGCGATTGAAGATAAATGGGACGGAAATGGAGTCTGTTCGAATGTGATTTATTTAGGCTTCCAAGGACGGCGACCCTCGGTGTGACGCTGGTGTATGTCCGTAAACCTGGCCCGTCCGGGTTTTTAGTTTCCAGACTTGCCGTAAACACGCCTTATCCGGGTGTGCGTAAACAGGCGCATTCGAGGCATGTCACCCGTGTGAGCCCGCCCTACCGTGCCGCGATCACGGTAGATAGGCCGAAGGCCGACTAGAAGACGGTTGCCTCGTCTCCGGCGCCGACGCCACGGGGCTCGTATCGCTTCGTACGAACTCGTGTTCATTCGTATTCCGCTCGTCTCGATGCGCGGTCGGCCTGTCTCCCGCCAATCGGGGCGGGATCGATCGGGTCGTATCCGCGTCGATCCTGCTCCGATATCCGTTTCCCTCCGCGCGGCAAGTGTGGGAAACGAGCCGAGACGTTTCTGTCAGCGCGACCCATCGGTCTCTGGGGACGGTGTGTCTTATTTTCGAGTCGAGGATGAATAAGTATGGCTGGAAGATCGATGAGGCCTTCGTTAATGTCGACAGTGTTTACGAAACATCCTGCTACACATTCATTGTGGGAAGTGGCTTGGAATTTACGCTGACCCGGACCATTCCCTTCTCACCCCCGTCAGTGTCACTGACTATGGCTCAATTCGTTGCTGCTAGGAAAAGAGGATTTCATCCCCGTACGAGTTGTTTCTGGCATTTCTTTGCAATAAATTCGGTCGACGAAATTTAACACGAGATAGGTGGATTAGAGGTCGGACACAGGCATCTAATCTCTTCCGTCGCGAACCGTTATTGGTTTTCAAACCTGCTCAGCCTGGAGGAGTCGAGTCGAGCGATACGGTCCACTTTCGAGGCTCTTCTAGTTGAAAGCTCGCAGCTCGATGAAGTACATCAAATTTGCAGAGCGTGCGAGATTCAACGCCCTCGCGTGCTTTGAATAAACATATTTGGCTCGGTCGTCGTGGAGACTCACGGTTGCCCTTGCCCTAACGGGAATTTAGAAGCCGAGAATGACAAATATTTGAGTTAGGGATTTCGGGGGGTGAAACGGTGCACATACCTTAATCTGCCTCAGACCCAGAGAAAAATATGACCCAGAGGATTTAGCGCGTGTGCGTGCCACCCAGGTCTTTGAAAGTTAATCCGTCTCCGCATGAAAGAGTACAGTTTGGGGGGACCTCTGCATCGCAGGCAGCGAGGTACGATGTGACACGGAAGATATTTTTACGCATCCATGGTTTATGGAAATTGGGTACTAAAAGTGACGCCATGGAAACATTTCCACAGTAACTTAGCTTGCTGTGAGCGCATTTCCCGTACTTGAGGGTTTATTTCTATTTCTAGCTGCTAAATTTTTTTTTTATGGGGGGGGGGGGGGGGGGGGGGGGGGGGGGGGG